CCATTTTGAATATTTGAACCGTACGCGCATCCTAATTGCGCATGTGACGTCATTATTCTAGAACATTCCTATTTGTCGGTATATAAGTCGATCAGATTAACCGGAATTCTATTTTACGCTGTTTAAGTCGATCCGATAATACGATAATCGGATATTACGATAAATTCCTGCTTTTGATGAATTTCATCGAAAATTTGACGGAAGACCCACTCGTTGCTCGCAACGAGATCGTATCTAGTTATTATTCTTTTTTCTTCTTATTTCTTCTCCGGTACTTTTTTGTCCGGAAGTGTTCTCAGAAAGTGTTCACCAAACTAACTTAAAACCTTTTTAGGGTTACTAGGCATGTTGTGTAGATGTGCCGAACGAAGGTCATTTTGCGCGCATTTGCATGCACGTGCGGGCGCGTGCAATAAGTAAAATGACTGTTATATTTAATATGGTTGTAACTTTTATATTTTTTGATAAAATATTTTGAAACTCATTATATAAAGATAAATAAGTTGTGTAGATAAGATGACATGGTCAAATTTGCATGAACTCACGCGCATGCACGTGCGCTTTGCTCTGATTGGCTGAAACAGAAATCTTAATATCTTTTTTGTTTTATGATGAAATGCTTTGAAATTTACAACATAGACATGCATTAGGATGTACTACAATATAATTTATAAAATTTTTCATGAAATCACGCGCATGCACGTGCGCTGCAATCTGATTGGCTGAAACTTTAAATAAGTATAACTCCCTTGGTTTTCAACCAAACAGCATGGGATTTAGAACATAGATAGACATAGAGGACTCCTACAGGATGGTATGGTCACCATTCACATGTATGCACGAGCGTGCACGTGCGCTTTGCTCTGATTGGCTGAAACAAAAATCTCAATATCTTTTCTGTTTTTTACAAAATGCTTTGAAATTTAAAACTTATGCAAACTTTAAAATGTCCTACAAAATGATATATAACAAATGTCATGAAAGCACGCGCATGCACGTGAACTGCAATCTCATTGGCTGAAACTTTAAATGGCTATAACTCCCTTGTTTTTCAACCAAACAAGATGGGATTTAGAACATAGACAGACATAACGGACTAATACAAGAAGGCATGGTCATCATGCACATGCATGCACGTGCGTGCAGGCGCGCTTTGCTCTGATTGGCTGAATTAAAAATCCCAATATCTATTTCGTTTTTTGACGAAATGCTATGAAATCTTAAACATGGGCATGCATTAAGATCTCCTACAATATGATATATAACAATTTTCATAAATACATGCGCATGCACGTGCGCTGCTATCTGATTGGCTTAAACTTTAAATGGCTGTAACTCCCTTGTTTTTCAACCAATCAGGATGGGATTTGGTCCATACACAGACATAATAGACTCCTACAAGAGGGTATGGTCATCATGCACATGCATGCACGTGAGTGCACGTGAATTAGTAAAATTAAAAATACAATTGAATGAACGTAGTTTTACATGCTTTTGGATTAAATGCTTCAATATTTAGTAAATCAAGATCTCTAAATGGTGTAGACTAGATGATATCGTCATTATGCTTATGCATTTACATGAGCACACGTGCTACGCTAAAATTTGAATATACTTGATATACTTTTGGGAAAACATTGTTAAAGTCTTAAATGCATAGACTTTGCCTTATTTAATGAAGCTTACAGGGAATATGGCATGCAAAGGGAGTTGGGGAGCGTTTGGGGAACATCTGTAACGGTTCCCGTTACAATTAGCACTAGTTAAGGTCTTCCGTCTTCAGCGGAAGACCTTCTTGTTATTCTTAGGTTTCTTTTTCACTTTTATTATTATTATTGTTTTTTTTCTTACCGATTTTGTGCACGCGATTTCTCGAAAACGGCTCGATGGATTTCCATGAAACTTTCAGGACTTATGTGACATCACTTGAACCTTATGCGTTTTTTTCTGTTTTGATGACGTCACTTCCGGTCCGGAGTTATCAGCCCTTTTATGTTTTTTTGAGGGTCGGTTTGTCCGCATGATTTCTCCTAAACGGATTTAGATAGACGCTTGATACTTTCAGGTATGGTAGACCTATGTCTGTAGATTTGCGGAATGTTTTTCGTTTTTATCGGAAGTGCCGCACGTCGGCGCTCGCTATGGCCCGAAAAAAGTCGTATTGCGAATTTCAAATTTTTTAACACGTTTTCTACGATATCTTTTGATCTTGAAATATTTTGTTAAAACATATAGAACAAAAGAAGTGTAGAATTTTAAGATCTTTCAAATGATATCTTGTAAAAGGGCTGGCCCCTAAAATTAAGGGCCTAGAGGGGCCAATTTTTTTTTCATTATATCTCAAAAAGTATTGAGAATTTGTAATACATCAAAGAAGCAAAGTTGTTCAAAATGTCAGGCTTAATCTATTGGGTTCGTCAAAATACGTCCGGCGACGTCACTTCCGGCCCAACCGGAAGTAGTCGTAAAACACGTATTTTTGCCGCTCTTGACAAGTTTTGGGGTAATATATGTCTCTGGGAGCATAAAAATTAATTTTCCGTCCGTCGTCGTCACTTCCGGTCAAACCGGAAGTAGCAAAAATGGCTTATTTTTGCATTGATTTACATTGATTTAGAGGATTCAAAGCATTTTTAGGCGTTATTTTATATTTTTGTTGAAAATGAAAGCTACTTCCGGTCAAACAGGACGGAAGACCTACTCGTTGCTTTGCAACGAGCTTTGCTCTAGTTATTATTATTATTATTATTTTTCTTCTTCCTGGGAAAATTTTGTCCACGAGTGATCTTGTAAACTACACATCCGACTAAGGTAAAATGTTTTTAGGGTCAGTAGACATGTTATGTAGATTTGCCGAACGAAGGTCATTTTGCGCGCACGTGCTTGCAAGAGCGCGCACGTGCAACACGAAAAATGACCAATATAATGGATATTGCTGTAACTTTTCTTTTTCTTGATGAATTTTTTTGAAACTCATAATGTAAGGATACATTAGTAGTATAGACAAGATGGCATGGTCAAAATAGCAAGATCTCACGCGCATGCACGTGCGCTTCGCTCTGATTGGCTGAAACTAAAGTCTCAATATCTTTCTTGTTTCTTGTCATAATCTTTTGAAATTTTTAACATAGTCCTACATTATGAAGATCTACAGCATGATATATAAAAATTTTCATGAAAGCATGCGCATGCGCGCGTGCTGCAATCTGATTGGCTGAAACTTTAAATGGCTATATCTCCTTTGTTTTTTGACGAAATGCTTTGAAATTTAAAACATAGTCATGCATTAGGATATCCTAAAATATGATATAGAAAAAAATCATGAAATCATGCGCATACACGTGTGCTGCAATCTGATTGGCTGAAACCTTATATGGCTATATCTCCTTTGTTTTTTGACGAAATGTTTCGAATTTTAAAATATAGTCATTTATTTAGATATCCTTCAAAATACTGATAAATGTATATATTTGACCGGTCAGCAGGGGATGCTCACTCCTCCATGGCACCTGATCCCACATCTGATGTTTCGGAATTCCGTGTTTGCTCTGCTCCTATTTTGTATTGTTTTATGAACTTTGATACTGAATACTGTTCTTATCTCTATATCCCTCTTATAGCTTAGGTTCAATTATTGTTTATAGAGAACTCTGCTGTAAAACCTCTGGGAAATGGTATGTTGCCATCTATCAAGTAGAATATGAAAAAATATTTACTAGTCTATTTTGTTTTTGTTGACATTACAAATTCCTTGTTTCGATTTTTGACATATATTGTGCATTGTATTGTAGTTTTGTTTTGGATATGTTAACATTGTTCTGTATTAAATATTGCAATCTGTAAAAATACATGTAATTTGTGTTAAACTGAATCAAATCCCTTGTCAAAGCCATTTTTGTTTTTATAAAATAAATACGAATGGATGAAGATCCGAAGGAGCCTTTTTAAAAATGGTAGGGCGCAGTCTCCACAAAAAATACGAGTTTGGAAAAAGCAACAATTGACTTTAAAATGTACATTGATTATATTGAATTTTGATACAAATGATACTACTGACAACATTTATTTTCCCTTCTGTCGGTGTCAAAAGAAGAAAATTAAGTGTACATATTGTTCTCAAATTATCAATAAAATACACCTACCATTTATTAAGCATTTCTCAAACACATAAGAATTATAATAATTAAAATGAATTATCCAACTTTTATAATAATTGTTTACGTTATACAATTAGACTTCCAATAAGAGGAAGAGAAAAATATAATATTTTCTTCTATGTATACTATGAAATCAAATTGTTTTTAAAAAATTATAACCATTAGTTCATCAATTGTGCTCTATGTTTATCTATTGCTTTCTGAACTTGGATTTGTTTAGGTTTGATTTAAAATTGAAAGCGCAATTTTTTTTAGATTACACATTCACTTGAAAAAATTCTGGTACAGTTCCTTTAAATACTATTTAAATAATTTAATAACTTTTTTATGTTTTAAGAAAAATTTACATCTCTCAGTGTGATTTGCCAATAACAACAATAAAGTAAAACCTTGCTTATTATAAATAAAATCACGTTTTGCATTCATTTTTTAATACGAACATTTTAAATGCTTTCTAATATAAATGTCCATTTAAGAATAAAAGAGTAATTAGTAAGTATTACACACTGCTACATTTTTGTTCAATTTTCTTCTTTCACCATGGACGTTCTGGGTGGTCTTTAAACCTAAAAAAAAATTAGCAAAAATTCAAAAAAAAAATTAAATTAAAAAATCAGGCATATAAATCTATATCGCATTTTTATAATAGCAGTTACCCAAAATTACATTATCACTAACGCAGACCTCTAGTAAATACTATTTTTAGATAAGGAAACATTAAAATTAATTTTTTATGTCAGTTATATTGCAAAAAGATATATAATTTTATGCTAGGTAATATATACAACTCACATAGCTGCGACATCAAAGTAACGTCGTTTTGTTTTTATCTTATCAATATCCTCCATTTCGTCTTTGGATAGAGAAAAATCGAAAACCTACAAAGCACAACGATAGATATAGTATTCTGCAGTTACATATGTAAGTATTGAGCAAACAATTTTAAATAAAAATATTAAATAATATATTTTATGAAATTAAATAAATTACACCTGTATATATTCCATAGAATCTAGTACTAGTTATACCCGCACTTTCTAAAGAAAGTTCAGGTATATTGTTGTTACTCATGTCCGTCCGTCCGTCCGTCCGTCCGTCTGTCACACTTTTCTTCCCTGAACTCCTCCTACATTTTACAAAGTAGCTTAATCATCTTTTGGGAGATGGTTGGTGGGGTCATGTAGATGTGCAGTAAGGTTTTGGAATTTTGATTTTGCCCCGGGGGGTCAAATGGGGGTCGAAAAATGACGTTTTTTATGCAAAAAGCCCCGTCTTCCCTGAACTCCTTCTACATTTTACTCAGCAGCCTAACCAGCTTTTGGGAGATGGTTGGTGGGGTCATGTAGATGTGCAGTAAGCTTTCGGAATTTTGATTTTGCCCCAGGGGGTCAAATGGGGGTCGAAAAATGACGTTTTTTAAGCAAAAAGCTCCGTCTTCCCTGAACTCCTCTTACATTTTATTCAGCAGCCTAATCATCTTTTGGAAGATGGTTGGTGGGGTCATGTAGATGTGCAGTAAGGTTTTGGAATTTTGATTTTGCCCCAGGGGGTCAAATGGGGGTCGAAAAATGATGTTTTTTAAGCAAAAAGCTCCGTCTTCCCTGAACTCCTCTTACATTTTATTCAGCAGCCTAATCATCTTTTGGGAGATGGTTGGTGGTGTCATGTAGATGTGCAGTAAGGTTTCGGAATTTTGATTTTGCCCTGGGGGTCAAATGGGGGTCGAAAAATGACGTTTTTTATGCAAAAAGCCCCGTCTTCCCTTAACTCCTCTTACATTTTACTCAGCAGCCTAATCATCTTTTGGGAGATGGTTGGTGGGGTCATGCAGATGTGTAGTAAGCTTTCTGAATTTTGATTTTGCCCCAGGGGGTCAAATGGGGGTCGAAAAATGACGTTTTTTATGTTAAAAGCCCCGTCTTCCCTGAACTCCTCTTACATTTTATTCAGCAGCCTAATCATCTTTTGGGAGATGGTTGGTGGGGTCATGTAGATGTGCAGTTAGGTTTCGGAATTTTGATTTTGCCCGGGGGGTCAAATGAGGGTCGAAAAATGACGTTTTTTATGGAAAAAGCCCTGTCTTCCCTAAACTCCTTTTTCGTTTTAAACAGTGGTCTTATCCTCTTTTGAGAGAGTTCACTCTTTTGAAATTTTGTTAAAACATCAAGGTCAAGGGGTAAAAAATCATAGCATGTTGGGAAACATCTTGTTATGGGTAATGTTCACTTGAAATGTGAAAGTTGAATCTCTTCTCAATGAAAAGGAAATACAACATTAATGAAAACTAAGTTAAACTTCAAGGTCAAGGTCACAGAGTCAAAAAGTCATGATACATTTGGAAAGGTCTTATCACAGGTAATATGAATGCCCTTTCATTTATCTTTCAAAATGATTAATTCAAAGCAATTAATTTGTTTATGAAATTAGGTCAAACTTCAAGGCCATGGGTAATAAAAATCATAGTGTATTTAGAATGGTATTGTCCCATTTAATACTAATACACATGTTTAATATAAAAGTCCTGTCTCTTCTCATTCAAAATATACGACCATGAGGACCAATTGCAAGGTTAAATTTATTGTGACAGATGGGCAGATTGACAAACAAATGAGATTTAATGTACCCTACCTTAGCGAAAATGGGGGACAATAAATGTCTTTGCTGTTCTTGAGAAGAAGATTTATGTTGGAAAAGTCCCCTGCATATTTAAATGTAAATTGGTTGAAATTGGCCCAGTGGTTCTTAAGAAGTTAATGTGAAAAGTTTGCAGACAAACAGATGGACAACAGAAATCAGTACATTTCAGAAAACAGTATGCTTATAAATAGTTAATCAAGGTGCTTTGGGTAGCAAAATTAAGCTAAACTGGTATATCTAAACTGGTATATCTAATTCATCCGCAGAGCTTAGTATATTTTAATATGCACAACCTTTTCAACTCTTATCATAATTATTTTTTAAAATTTATATCACCATGTCTCATTCAAGGGAGAACTAGAGATATGACCAGATGTATATCTGTTGAATATAAAATATGTACATGTATACTGTGTTTTTTAGTAATTTGTTTGTTTGTTGTGACAGCAACTGTTATGGCAGCTTTTGGCAAAAGTTGAAGTTTCTCAAATGTAAGTCAAACTCCAAGGTCAAGGTCAAAGGGTCAAAATTGTTGGTATCAAAGGGAAAGTCTTGTCACAAGGAATACACATGTGAAAAAAGAGAGAAATCCCTAGAACTTCCTCACCTGTTCAAAAGTTATTGCCAAGGTTAAAGTTAAATTGGGTTCAACTCTAAGGTCTAGATCAAAAATAATTATACCTGTTGAAAGTTCACAATGATTACACATGTTAGAGCATGAAAGTCCTAGCACCACCTGTTCAAAACTTAGGCCAAGTTTAAGGTATTTTTCTTGTAAAAGTGGGTCAAACTCCAAGGTCAAGAGATCAAGAGGTCAAAATTGGTGGTACCCATTAAAAGATTTTGCCAAAAGAAATTTACCTATGAAATATTGAAGTCATGTGTATAGCCCAATCCACTTAAAACTTATGAGCAAGGTTAAAGTTTCTGTGGACAGACAAACATACATAAACATAGGAAACAAAATATGTATATATAGTCAAATGAAAAAATTTTCTACTATTATGGAGTCATAAGATCCATTGTCATTTCAGGTACAAGGAGTCAGTGGCTAGGGAGATCAGACACCCCCCCCCCCTGGAATTAGCAGTTATTTAAATAAGACTATGTACTGTAGAGAATAAAAATGACTTTGGACATCCTCCCCCTTAGAAAACAGGGACTCCACCATCATTGTTATTATTATTATTTTTTATTTGCTTCTCAGGAAATCTTGGGCTGATTTTTTTGACTGAGGTGTGACCCCCCCCCCCCTTTCTGAAAAAAAAATTCTGGATCTGCGCCTGTATATACTGAATGTCCGCAACGGGAGATAACTTGACAATGTGAAATTTTCGACTGTGGCATGCGATGATCTTTGACCCTTTTTGAACTTCAACCTAACCATTTGCATTTATTTATTTTTATGCAATCTATACTAAATCTTGTACTTACCGAATGTCATAGGTCGTGACAACGAATTCATGAAATATAATCCATATAATCCAATTAAAACACAAATGATTTTAACTGACCACACTGCATCGTCAGCATACATGTTCTAAATAATCTCATTCGACAAACCTTTGCTGATTCCGTTGCCAGTATGAATCGGCCGAGGTGTGCCGAGAGGTGATATCTATAAATATGATAATGGGTGACGCAAACCCAATGTGAATGTAGAAAATAAGATGTTCACACGTAAAACTGTTTAGTACAAGAACAAATTTCAAACTATCATAATAAACTATGTTTTAACATAACTTTGCCATCTAGGTCTATTTTTAAAAAATGTGAGAGTGAGAGAGTGTGTGTGTGTGTGGGGGGGGGGGGGGGGGGGGGGCGGGGGAGAGAGATAGGCATTGACAAATTAATTGGGTTGTATTTTCAATGGGTTTTTTTCCCGACCAAGTACTAAAATCAGTTTGCACATTTTGATAAATTCATCAAAAACGCTTTGTACTAAAATAATATGTCGTTGAGAAAGTAAATTTAAAAAGTTCCAAATTATGGGCAAAATATTCATCTGAATCTAATTAAGTAATTTACTTCAATCATTAATTAAATTCTGTTATTTCAGACTGGTAATGAATTAAGTATTCAAAATACATATGTGAGGCTCATAGATCATATGGTCACCTGAAAATTTTATGTTCAATTTGACGAATACATGTACGGTGATAATTATAGAATTATAATGACTTCTTCCTTGGAAAGTCCAATATGAAGGAGTGTGTATTGAGAGGCAAACACCATAGTGCGGGTATTACTGTCTCATGACAGCATCTAGTTTGGTACTTGTTATACCATAAATAATTTTTCAGTAAAAGGAGAATTGAAATAAATTATAAAATTTAATTCAAGCGTTCTGAATATGTTGCTGAAATAATTTATGCCCACAGGCACCTGACGTTACTTATTTTTCTTTTAATAAAAAAAAATTATACCCTTACCTAGGCACCTGACGTTACTTATTTTTCTTTTAATAAAAAAAAATTATACCCTTACCTTATAATAAACAAGGTTACCAACGCGCCATCTTGAATTTTTCTAGGCCAGCCACATCAGCAAGATTTTGCGCTCGAAACGGAATGACAAGATAATTTTGCGATCCTCTCCGTGTAGCAGCAGGTCCTTCAACATCTATACTTACGACCTATTCAACCAAATCAGCACATTTCGTTTGCAATTAATTAAAATCTCTCCTCGTTTTCTATCTACTGCTTCAGATATGCGAAAAATCGCCAAAGGGGGCCGGAAGTTTACATCATTATGTTAATGGGAATTCCCTGCATGAATCTGATTGGTTAACATAATTTTTATTGAAACAGAAAAGAAGCTTTGCGGGAAAACTTCGCAGGCTTACCATGCTTACCAAAGAACAGTCGAAGGCATTGAATTTAATTGAAAGTGGACATAGTTGTGTAATTTTGGGGCAGGCGGGGACTGGAAAGTCATATCTAATAAAGGAAATGCTTAAAAGAATTCAAGACAAACGTGTATCCGTAACCGCTAGCACGGGTTTGGCGGCACGACAATTCCAAGCGCCACAACTATTCACCACTGGGCAGGGCTAGGAGATGGAAGGTTTGAAAACCAGCACTTATTAAAAATCCTCAGTGAAGAAACCAAGAGCAGAATTCAGAAATGCGACATTCTAGTCATAGATGAAATATCCATGATCAGTAGGAAAATTTTTGAGAAGGTGTGTATAACTTTGTTTGAGAAAATGAGAATGTTGCCATAAATATTACCCTGTGTATTTTCTTATAAAGTGCAATTATATTAGCATTACCATAGGTAACTACCACAAATATTAACTGTTATGGGATGGTTATAGACCCGTTCCGATTTTGTTTTTACGTAGCAGACAGTATTTCCGGTTTACGGGAGAAAGGTAAATACATCTGATATCTGAGTTACTAGGCCATGTCTATCGCTTAGATAACCTTACAAAATTTATGAGAGCTCTTGGAATAATCTAGTTTTATACTGAGAATGTTTGCACCGACATCCGTGTGAAATTAAGTGCACATTTGTTTATGTTGAAGAGGTACTGTTTACATATAAATACTAAAGTAGGTAGGCCTAATAGACGAATTTCACATTCCTTAGAGTTATCTCATTTTTCCCACTTTGTCCTTTGTAAGTTACCTGTTAATATTTTTAATCTTCAAACGATATCGGACAATTACGATCTGTACCTGTATTGCCAGAGTATGGGGCAACATGAAAAACATAATGAACATGTTCATACAAATTTAATCTCGAAGATACTGACCCTCAAAGCTGAAAAGATTATAGAGGGAAAATAGCATCTTACACTGTTTGACCCCAGATTGACCAGCAAAGGGATAACTTTTTTAAATGCAAAAGCTGTCTATTATCAGGTCCAGTCACTATTTCTGCCTACTTAGCTATTAATTGCTACGTAACTATTTAAACATAGTACCAAAGTAGCTTTTTTTACCTACTTATTGTATTATCTGCATTTTGTGGCCAAAAGATCGAAAGGCGCAACATGGTGAATACCATAATTTTTGATACAGTCAGACTAGTCTAATGATGAATAAGACAAAATTTTGACCAAAAAATAATTTACTTCATGAATCAGCAATTTTACATTAGTTTCTATGCAAAATCGATAATACACGAAGTAATCATTTTTTGGCCAAATTTTTGTCTAATCCATCATCAGTGTGGCTGTATCAAGGACTTTTAGCTCACCATGTTGTGCCCTTCCTGCATTTGGTCACAAAATGCAAGTAAAGCAGAAGGTAGCTACTTTGGATAGGGTTAATTTAAATACCTACATAGCTATTGATAGCTACATAGGTAGAAATAGTCTTTGGACTGTACCTACATGATTACATAAGGCCCATTGCCTGATTACTGTACATGTATGTTACTCACTTACTGCCAAGCGGTTGTTTATATCATTATTTATAAAATGCATATCGATTTCAAAGTATATTGAATGATGCAGTGCAGCAATAGCTCTTTCCAATCTTACTGTAAATCTTAGTTATTCCCCGCTCAACTATATATAATCGTCTATTTTCTTTATTTAGCTAGAATTCATCTGCAGGTCAGTTAGGGAACCAAGCCTATATTTTGGTGGATTGCAGGTTAGTAATTTGAATCATCAATGCACTAAAAATTGCATAGCTTTAGATATTGCTGTTGATTAAACCTAGAAAATAGGTTTGAAATATTGTAAAGGATAATGGTAAATGATAGGCAAACTAATAAACATGTAATTACTGGTATAAGGTGATTATTGTCATAAAACACTAGATAGCCTATGATTTTAATATGTGTAATACAAGTCTAGTTTGTGAGAATCATGGCATTTTGCAGAAAAGAAGATAAATATACAATAATATTCTGTTCTTAAAATATTTTTTTAAAAATTCCCATTTATTCATAGGTTGTGTGTGTGGGTGATTTCTTCCAATTACCACCCGTCCCAAATGACTTATACAGGGATCCTGGAGATCATGCGTTCACTTCAGATGTATGGACAAAGACGATCACACACATCATAACACTTAAAACAGTAATTCGTCAGAGTGATGAGGACTTGATCCTAGCCATCAATGAGTTAGAGCGGGGTGTTCCAAGTCACCAAACAAACCAGTTGATACTTGCCTTAGAGAGACCTTCGACAAGAAGCAGTCCCTGTTTTCTATTTGGTACAAATTTTGAAGTGGATTGTTTCAACATGACAGAATTGCACAAAATGCCAGGAGAACCAACAAGTTACTGTGCTGATGAAGAAGGGGAGCAGAGATATCTAAGAAAGATCATCGCAAATAAACTTCTTTTACTTAAAGAAGGTGCCCCAGTCATGCTGATTAGAAATCTCTCCGACTCTCTAGTTAATGGGTTACTGGGAACTGTGCTAAGGTTAGAGGAAGATGGTCCAACTATGAAATTTGAAGACAAAATAATTAAACTAAACAAGGTTACATTTAGTGTATTTGACCCTGCACAGTGTGCAACAATAGCACAGAGAAAACAATTTCCTATTGCTCTGGCTTTTGCCATGACTGTTCATAAGTCCCAAGGACTAACTTTACCTAATGTAGTTGTGGATTGCAAAAATATTTTCCAAGCAGGTCAGATGGGTGTGGCAGTTGGGCGTTCTACAGACCGTGGAGGGCTCTGTGTGAGGAACTACGATCCAAAGTGCTGCAAACAGCACCCTCAGGCTGTGAATGATTACTGTTCATCCTTGGGGGTTGTTGCCATAGGAGATCTATCTTGCTGCCAAAAAGTATGTTGATAACGATTTTGTATATAGCATGCTTTTACTTATGTAAAGAAAAATTATTTATGCTATCAACTACCGGTAAATGCATTACTCATTTACAGTGTATTAAACAATTTTTTACATGTAGTTTAAAACTGATATATTGTTATAAACTAAAAAGTTAACAATTCATTATTGTTAAGGTGTTTATTTTTATTAGGTGTTCGAAGATGGCATATTTGAAGAAGACTTCTTTGATACCAGTGAGCATGGTGAGATACATGTATATGTGGCAGAAAATTCAGATGAGTCTGACTTTGAGGAGGATGACATGAAAATGATAGAAGAGCTAGAAAGGGTTCGCATCATGCTTTTGTCTTCATTTTCTAAACTAGCTTTATCTGAGTTAAATCTAGTCTGACAACAATGTCTACCTTTTGAAATATAATTTATAATAAGTAACAGAGGCAAACACGTGGAATATTTCTCAATCACAAGAAATATTTAGAATGACAGGAATATTTTAAACTGTGTACATATTAATGGCATGTAGCATAACTATTTGAAAGTTAAAAAATCTCAGTGTATGATAAAAGAAATATAAAGATCCTTAAGAAAAAGCATGTTTTTGTTCATACAGTTTTGTATTGATTTGATTCAGATATCTGTGACATATTTGCATGACATACAATGTATTTAACTTTCAGGCTGAGAACTCAAGGCCAGAAGGAATGGATCATCAGAAAGCAAGACATCTTCTGACTGAATTAAGGGTGCAGAATCCACTATCAGATAATCAAAAAACACTGAATTCCGATATTATTTACTTTGAGATACACTTTGATCAGTTTTTGGACTTTGTTCAAGTTTTAACTCAAAAGATTGAATCTATGAAGAGTGAACATTGCAGTTCTTCACAGTCTGTGAAAAACTGGACTTCATTTTATTCCAGCTATCATTCGTTTCTGCAGTCCAAAGAATACAATTCTTTATGCAAATCTCTATTCTCAAGTCGAAGTGTTAATGACTTATTCTGCGGAAGTGTTGCTACAGCAATTCGAAAAAATATTGTAGCGTCGCAGACAGAGCAAGAGCCAGAGCAGCCAATGAAAACCTGTGATACATTTATATCTGACTTTGCACATGGCAAGATACGTTATGTTGGTGGCCGTGCTGTAGCGAAATTGAAGTACCATAATACTAACTTGGTGCGAAATGATCTTAGAAATTATGGGAAAATTTTGAACCAGCAAGCGAAAGTAAAGGTGGAGGTGCTTCAATCTATCATCGTCTCACAAGCAGATGTTGAATGCTCCACGAAATTTCCACAAAGTATAATTGATGTCAAAAGGAAACAAAATCTGTCTTGTGGTCTAACAAATATTTCAGATGGAGCATTCCAATTCTTTTTAGAATTGGAAAAGACTCGAATTCCGTTGTATAGTGAACATGAACTTAAGTACCATGGACAAAATGTTTTGCAGCATATTCAGGCAACAATAGTAGAAGACAGAGATTTGTTCAATTCATGGACCAATATATTTTCTAATCTACAGACTAGATTGTTTACCATGAATGCAGACTTGGACACTTGTTCTCTTATATTGTCAGACATAGTTGATGGAGCAACAGCAATTACCTGTTTATTTAAAGACATTGTGAATTCTTACCTGAGAGTGACAGACTCTGAATATAGAAAGAAACTTTTAGAAGAAGTTGGACAAAAGAAATCTATGGAGCACAGAAAAAAAGTTTTAACTAAAGGTAAAGCAAAATCCTCAGCAGCAAATACTAACATTTCCATTCATGACTTACTTGGAGCAACCAACAGGGAAGCATATCACTTAAAACTTAAAGCAGCTTTGATTGAAAATTCTGGCTTGTTGAACATTTTTAAAAAGAAAGAACTGTTAATCTTGGGAAAGTTTTACAACACTAAGCTTAAACAAGCTGACAAGAAGGAAGTTCAGTGTGATATTCTAAGAAACACTATTTTGAATTGTGACAAGATGCCAAATCCAGATATTCAGTTGAATCTGTCGGATCGTCAGGGTTCATCTATTAATTAGGATCATTCAATGTAAGGTAAAATCATACTATAAATTTACTGCAGCTTTTGAAATAAAATTTGAAATCAAATGTTGATCAAGACTAAACTTAATTTTATTTATTTACACATTTGTTATGATTGTTTTTGGTTTTCTTTAATGTTCAGATTTTTGCAAAGCTGTTTGAATGGAAGTGCTGATCCTCCATGGGAACCTGCTTTCCTTCTTGCAGCATTGGATTTCTTGGAAACCAAATTCTGACATAGGGTTATACTGTTTGTAGCACTACAGTATTGTAGATAATTTGGATTGCTTCCGGCACCATGATGGAGTCCCCTTTGCTGAGAAAAGATGTTTTCAACAATGTCGCTGTTCACAAATCCTGGTGTAAGTATGTACTTAATGTCATTCACAACAATTCTACATAAACTCTGAAATCCATAAAGAAGGAATTTCAAGTCCTCTCTAGTCTCATGTGACATTAAATGCTTAACATCTGAAGTATCTTTTTCCCACTTAAGGAAGAAGAGGAGAGCACTGGAAAGCTGTTGTAGACGTTCATCTTGAAGGTCTGCGATGGGACGTCTGTCGTGGAAGACATTTATCAAAAGACTAGTCTGTTCCAATAATTTGATGGGCCCATCACAGCGGGATGCAGCAAGAGTACTGTCCCCCAAACTTTCCTTGAACTGTCGCATGAGATGCAGCATGTCTGAGTTGAGGCATTCCTCGGCGAGATGATTCCTCATTTTTTCTGCTTGGTTTGGATGCAGATGTTGAGAGGTAAGTTTGTGATGGATAGAGAGACCATGCTTTTTATCCCATTCATAGGCATCAATGAAGGTTTTCCATGTTGTTTCACATCCATCAATGTTGAGAAGTCGAGAGTGCCACTGGCATGTACGACTGCTCAGAATGTTATTTCTAATTTTTTTAAACAAATGTGATGGATCTGCAATGAAGATTACTGGATGGGTATTACAGAAAGGATTAAAGCCAGCCATATCAGATGAAGGTGATGGAAAATGCATTTTGATGAACGATCTGTTGTTAGATGCTCCATCCAAGGAGGTGTAAATAATATGAAACCCCCATTGTTCAAGAGCTTGCACTACATCCCAGAACATTGTATAGATTTGTGGTGCATTGGCTTGGGTAGTGGGATAGTGAGCAACAAGGAAGCGGAAACCTGTCAGACCGTGGAAAATGAATTGAATGACATGGTTTGCCAACAGGTATTTGGAGGACTGCATTCTGTTGCCCTCAACACCTAAGTCAGGCATTCCTATCAATTTGCGGGACCCACCATGATGGTCTATTTGGATGTCTTCCTGAATGGCCATTTCATCAAGAATAAGGCCTCCATAATAGCCCTCTTGAGGAATTCCATCATTTTTGGCCTGCATGAACATCCACTGTAGCATGTCGTTATTGACTCCAGATGTTTGATATACAGAGTTTTTGTATTTTGATAATGTGTTTACACAAGGTAGAATAAGTTTTTTACTAAAGCAGAGTTGCTCATAGGCCCTGGGACTTCTTGTCCAAATAGATAATGCTAATTGCATAATGTCAAAATCCCATTTTCTTGATGTAGTATTACTGACACTAGAATTGATAAGTTGAGATTTTATAAGTGCAAGTTGTCCTTCTCCTAAATAGGGTGCCACCTGCTGAAGATACTGCAGTATTTCAGTTGGAGAGTTGGGAACGTGGTTGGTGGATGTGGATGGTGGAGGAGGCGGAGGAGGGGAAGGAGATGAACTTTCTGTTGACTGTACCAGACGTTCAGATTTTGTAGCAGTAGATTTAACGCTACGTAGACTTTTGCAGTGGTGACATGTCACAGTTTCCCTTTTGGAATTCAATGGCAACACTTTCATGCACTGTGAAGAGTATGCAGTACTTTTATGGTGAGAATTTGTTTGTAGAATGACATTTTCCTTGTTATGTACTGAGATTTTTTCTGCGTCTAAGCCCTCACAAAAGCGAAAAGAGTTTAGTAAACAGAATAATGAGTTCACTTTGAGGAAAGTAAATTCTATTTTGTCATGTTTAATTCTTTGTATTTTATTCCCAACAGATATCTGAAATGACCCATCAACATTGATCAACACTTCCATCAGAATTTTATGACCATTGCAAGATAAGGAAGTATCTTTCGCAAAAACAACGGAAGAGGATGAGTTCCTTATCAGAAAAAAATCATCTGGAATACACTTGTAGATGTCTTGCAAATTTGCAGGAGTATCAACATCACATCTTGGAGCTAATCCTGTATACACAAAAATTTTTTGAGTCCAGTTTCCCTTTTTACGGACTTTTTCTCTTTTTACACCCTTGAAAGTGTTTGAAACAAGTCGCCCAATATATCTATTTACATCTGTTTTTAGGTCAAAATATTGACTGAAATTCACTGCGACATCTTCTACTGGTACATATGAATCTTTGTTTTCAATGTAGTGCTGATGCAACCTGCATGTATAAAATTAATGGGTCAGAATACTTTGATATATTTGTATAATAAGTAAAATTATGTTTATGTTTGTACTTTTATCAAAAACTGCATTCAGTTGTGTATTTAAAGAATTAAAACCAGTTACAAATTAAACATTTTATTCAGATCAGCATTATACTTCTAGGAATTAGAAAAGAAGTCATGTATGTTCATGTGTTTAGATAGATATTTCTAGTCCTCTGTCAGTTTGTGGAAATCTGTATTTAGTAAATGAAGAACCTTGTCCCTTTAAAAATACTAGAAGGTATTGCAGGAAAAATAAGGCCATTCCAAGTATTTACTAGGTTTAGAGTCCAGGGGCGGATTGGTATTGAGGTTAATAACTTTGAAAACAAACACACACTAAAAATGTAAAAATACAAGTATTTGAAACACTATTTACTGTTTTGGGATTGGCATAATTTTTTAAAAAGTTTTTTAAATTAAATTATTTTTATAAATTAGTATTTTTATTTTAATGCAAGGAAATTTCTCCAATCTACAAGTATTCATTTAATGATGATGATATGGAACAATAATAGGTGTTTCAAGCCTTGCAGAGGATTTTGGTTTTATTATATTTTGTAAACCATGCAGCAACTTGACCAATATTATCTGGCATCCATGTCATGTATTAATTTCAAATTTCTGAAGTTACTACATGTATTGCTCTCAGGGGGAGAGTTTTTTTTTATTTGATTGTTGTTTAACATCCCTCTCAAGAATTATTCAATCATATGGAGACACCACTACTTGCAAGTGGAGAGCTGCAAATTTTGTCCTATACTCAGCAATCGGGCCATTGAGCAGGGAGGGATCTTTATCTTGCCAACACCTACTGCGACAGGACCTTGGTTTATACAGTCTCATCTGAAGGACCTGTCCCTACTCTAACCACTGGGTCACTCGGGCTACCAGGGGTAGGGTTAATGATTTGATTATGTATTTTTTCTTTTGAAGGGGGGGGGGGGGTTATGATTAGGTTGACATGAATCTCAAATTAGCAATTGTGACCCAAGAAAATCTTGTTTTTAAATTTTATAGATGTTAACAACAAAAAAAAAAAACATGCATTTACTTGCATAATAATTACTTTATTTACAAACTGGATCCTAGTCTTGGGTAAAATGCTTCAATGATTTTTGTTAGAAACATTTATAAAATGTAGGATCATAATGGATGCTCTCAAGCTCTGCTGCTGTAGTTAGTTATTAAGACCCAGGTGTCATTAAGCTCCTTGTATTGCCAAGAAATATACTATTGCCAAGAAATATACTTCGAAGAAGTCAGACATTAATATTTTTCATATTGTCTTTGGTTTAGAAGTATGTTTATTCTGTTCAACATTAAGTATTTATTTTCATAATGAAAAATTGCCAGGTCCCTGTGAATCAATGTTAAATTACAATGTTTTATGAGATTAGGATCAACAGTTGACTTGATTAAACCTGTTGGCTCATATATGAATAATTCTCTGTTGTGGAGATTGAATTCTTATGATTATGAACAAGGATGATATAAAAGTCACTCCCCAGTCAGGGACGTAGCAACAGGGGAATGGGGGCAGGGGGCCTGGCCCCCCACTTTTTCCCCAACATTACCTTTACTATTGAAAATGTTCATTGAAAGGTTCTTCCCCCCCCCCCCACTTCTTACCACAGTATAGTGATATGAAGGAAAATGTAGATTGTATGAAAAAAAAATGGAATTGAAAGGAAGTAGGCCTTGAAAAATGTTGGCCACTACCCCCAATCCCCCCCCCCCACCACCACGAAATAGGATTTTGGAGTTTGAGCAGTTGGGGTTCTTTTTATTTGCTTGTCAACATTTACAGGTTAGTGAAAAAAATTTCACTGGTTGCCGATGCTACGTGCCTCCTGCCAGGAACTTAACATAATCAATATTTTCCCCTAGTTTTATCAGTGTTTATGTCACATATATATGATTTCTTCTAGGCCTATCCCTTTAAAAAAATCTGTCTTGTATCCTGCACCATGAAAATATTTTTTTAATTTTTCTTATTTGGATTTTTTTTTAAAAAAGAAAACAGTTTGATGTCAGGTATCTGTGTAACTTTTTTTTTTATTTCTGCTATGATGAGACGATTAGTGTATAATATTACATCAATACATTGTGAATTATTAAAGAAACGTGAATATTTTTAAATATGGTGTGATAAAAGCCATAATTACCAGTAAAAATGATCAACTTCCATAATTTCATTTCGTAAGTAACTATTTCGATTTATGAATTTAAACCTGCCGCCTTTTGAATATGTATATTGGCATTATATTTGGAAAAAGAATTGACCAATCAGAAAAGGGATTGCCCGAAGAATGTGTGATGATGTAAACTTCCGGCCCCCTTTGGCGATTTTTCGCATATCTGAAGCAGTAGATAGCAAACGAGGAGAGATTTTAATTAATTGCAAACGAAATGTGCTGATTTGGTTGAATAGGTCATAAGTATAGATGTCGAAGGACCTGCCGCTACACGGAGAGGATCGCAAAATTATCTTGTCATTCCGTTTCAAGCGAAAAATCGTGCTGATGTGGCTGGCCTAGAAAAATTCAAGATGGCGCGTTGGGTACCTTGTTTATTATAAGGTAAGGGTATATCATACCTGGATATTACTACGTATTCTTTCTGGAGTAACACTCTTTGGAATTACAATAATACCTCTTTGAATGAGATTTCGAAGTAAAACCTGTAAAGGAAGATATGAAATAAAAACAATATAATCCAAAACAAAACATACGTTGATATTAAAGAACGTTTACTTCAACATCCATGATTGTCTTAATCCTTTTTAAATGTACCTGTGCAGGGGTTTTTCCATACTTCTTGGCTATTTTCTTAATGATAGGATCTTCTAGAGCAACCGGTTCATCTGCTTTTTTACTAAAAAAAATATAGTATTAATTCTCATATATTGGGGGTTATCAAAAAGCTCCTGGAGTGAGGCTATAAAATTAGTACTTTGTAGTCTGAGCTTACAAAATTTTTATGGAACATAAAACAATAAAAAATAAAGAAATGTTGAAAATTTTAGCCTGATACGTTAATTATTTCCCAAATGATTATAAAATAAAAACGACATTATGTCAACGCCCGGCGCCGTCGCCGTATTATGACGCCCGACAACGTCATTGTTTTTCAATTTCTGCTTCTTCTACCTCGAACACTTATTTTGATGAGATTCACTGGAGCTGAGGCAGGATTCAATCCGTCTTGTTTATATGATTTTAAAATGTCATGAGCAGCGGCTTTAAATGCATATAATATTGCAAATGAATTTATACAATGGGACAGATCCTTGTTTGATTGTGCCAGCATATTTTGCTTTTTGGAGTTCAGTATCTACAACACATGATCAACGTCATTTTTTCACGTGATTGATTTTTCACACCTTGACTACAAATCGACATTAACTGTACATTCCTTTTCTCTCTGAATCTATTTGTCATTAAAAACAAATACTCTGGAGATATATTATTTCTCCGTAGTCAGTTTAAACGTTTCCTAGGTCTATGCCATTTTTTTCAGGGACAAAACTTTATAAAATGTTGGAAAAGAATACCCCTCCCCTCTTTTGACGTCATTTTCAAGCAATATTTGGGTACTCCATGTAAAATTTATGATGAAATTTCATGGAACTTCCAGAATGAGGTAAAAATTCCATATTTTATGGAACAGTAGTGTCCCAACACATACCTGAATTAACGGGATTTTTGGATGTCAAATGTTCATATCAAAATAGTTTTTCTTAGTTACACTTAGATCGAAAAAACGTCGTTTTCGAGGTTGCGCCGCTTGGACATATCATTGCTTACAAAAACATTACTAATTTATTAAAAAAAAAATCAATTATTTGTAATTTATTCTATAGATAGAAAATATGATGCTCACTAGATATTTCAAAATTCATTGATGTACCTAAAGTGGTTTTAATTTCATGGCGGTAGTCCACGAACTTTTTGAAACCCCCTCGTAGAAGACTTGTCTTGGGATTTTATTTCTTATCTCTTTTTGAATTTATTGAAAATAGAAAAAAGGGATATCAATCGAATGTGAAATACATGTAGACACGTGTATAGCCATAATATATATTTTTGATAAATTATCAATATTTTTTATATGTTTCAGACTCAGAACAGTTTAAAACAACTCAACTCGTACACTCTAATAAGTTTTCTTAATTTAATAATCTTCAAAGATTTCCGTTATTAAATTAGACATGTAAGTGTCAATTTTAACTAATAACCATGGATACATCCTGTGTTTGGAACCATACGTTTTTAAATAAATGTAGCCGTCTTGGATTACTTTTTTGGCAAGGAAAGAAAAAACTTGCAAATTCGAAAAAAACTTATGGTAATTTTGAAGGTGAATGTTTTATTCAAATCTGCCCAATGTGATGCAATGTCTTTATGCAAGATATTTGAAATCAAAATAATTTGTGTAGCTTGCTTTTTTTAGTATAATAAAAAAGGAATAAATTATAATCTTCATTAAAAGGTGTTTTTTCGGCAATGGAACATTTATCATTATATCTTTTATTCTTTTCATTCTTTTAATCAAAGTATTAAAAACTCAGTATATCAACAATATTCATAAATGTTTTGATTTAAACAAAATATTTGTAATACTCACAAACGTTCTGGCCTTCCCGGAGATCCTATAGGAGCGTAGGCTGTTAATGTAACGCCAAGCTTCTTACAGGCCTCAAACAACTCTTTCTGTGGCCAATATATGTGGCATTCCACCTGTGAAGGAAAAGTAAAACATTTAAGAAACAGAAATTTTATCAAAAAAATGTAGAACCTCTTTTATTTGAACAAACAAATTGCTTTAGAGGTTTATTACTGAGTATTAGGGTTGATTAAAGGTTAATTAAATCACATATAATATAAAACAAAGTGAATGCGCTAACTAACTTGGTTTGTTACAGGTTTGTGTTTCGCCACCTTGCAGATTCTTTCAACTTGTGAGATACTGAAGTTAGACACTCCAATAGATTTAGTCAATCCGAGGTCTACAAGTTCCTCCATGGCCTGTAAAACGTGCGATATTTCGTTAATAATTTTATATGACAAAATCATAAGCAATTTATTTTTTCATGCTGTGTCAATTTAATAAGTTATTAACGCAGGACGATTTCTTTGCCATTCATTTAACCAAAAGGTGGCTAATTGAGGTTTACTGAAAGTTGACTAAAAGATAATTGAAAGGTGATGAAAAATTTATATAAGATGAATAATTGTTTACTGAATGTTGATTAAACGTTAATTGAAAGTTGACTAAAAGTTAACTGAAAGGTGATGAAATTTAACAAAAGATGACACAAAGTTTACTGAAAAGTTAACTAAAAGGTGACTAAACGTTAACTGAACGATGACTAAAAGATTCCTCAAAGGTTAACCGAAAGGGGACTCAGAGTTTACTGAATATAGTGACTTTAATTTTACTAAAAAGGTAATTAAAGCCAAGTGAAAACTGACTGAAATTTACTGCAAGGTAAACTGAGACCTGACTAAAGTTTACTAAAAGGTGACTCAAAATTTACTAAAAGATGACTCAAAGTTTACTGAAATGTGTCTGATTGACAGAACGTCATATATAATGTTGTACCTTCCATGTTCCCAGAAGGTCCCACTTGTCTGCAGCCTTCCAGCCTCCGGCTTCGTTTAGTGGAAAAACATTGTTGTCGTTACCATCATACTACAATACATTAATTCAAGCCAACATTAGGTATTTGATAAATTAAGAAGCAGAAAGAATAAACAATAGATTATTATTATTATCCATTTTAAATCTTATCTTCTTTTGTACTTACCACTAAAGGTATAGGGAGATGAATCAGGTACAAATCTAAATATGATAACTGTAGTTTCTTCAGGCTTATTTCAATGGATCTCTTCACCAGTTTTGGGTCCATGTGAATCATTGGAAGCTGATATAAAAAAAATCTTTGTTATACAAACACAAAAATACATGTTTAAGGGGAATACTTCTGTTTCTTCCATTTTGAAACACCCTGTCCAAACAATGTACAGCATGATATATTTTTTTAATACATAGATTCCTTAATATTTCCAATTTAATAATATACCTATTGATTGCATTTAAAAATTTTACTTAAATATAAAAATCATTCTGGTAACTAGTATATAAATAGCGAAAACCTTTACAAAACTTTAAGTTGTATAGCATTCATTCATGAAATATACATTCATTTTGTTCTTAGATACCTTTGTAACGATAAACAATTCCTCTCTTTTCACTTTTCCACTCTTAATATACTCCTGAAGAACCTCTCCTATTGCATCTTCATTCATGTAATTATAGGCCGTGTCAATATGTCTGTACCCGGCATCCAAAGCAGCCCGTACAGCTGCCTTAACCTCATCTTTTGGACTCTGAAAAAAGGTTTAATATTGGGTAATATTAGTTACATAGTCTTTTAGTGACAGGGTATGGGATGATACCTGGTTAGTAAATTTCATACCTGGCGAGGCGGAGCCGAGTCAGGTATGAAATTTACTAACCAGGTATCATCCCATACCCTGTCACTAAAAGACTATGTAACGAATTTACCCCACCGATGAAACATTTACGTTTTATCTGTGGTTTATAAATGGTTTTCTCTGCTAAATGCTTTATCGGGCTTATACTGTGCCTATTATGACGTCACGTTTGTGTTTGTGACGTAATACATCGACCGGGTATGGATTTTACTGACCGGGTATGGATTTACAACTGACCGGGTATAAGTAATCCACTGCCTTCACGTGACAGACTTCAACCAATCGTAAGCCAGGATTTCACGGAAAAATCAACAGAGGTGGGGTAAATTTCATTTCTGGTATTTTCATACTCCTATGATGTCATAGATTATCACAAAATCTGTAAGTAATTTAAATACACACCCAAAGAAAATGTATCTTTTGGACGAATGCCTTTCAATAAGTGTAACATAAAATATTTTTAGCAAAACAATATAAAATTTGAATAATTTCATTTTTTTTATCAATGATCAATCTGTTCGAAAAAATGCCAACGGCAATAACTCCTTCTGATGTATTTTCATTTAATATTTTTCTTTTTTGTAATTCTGATGTAAAATGTTTGCCCTGTTATTCAAACTATAAACTTTTTTTTATGAAGAAACAATTATTTTTTAACTTCTCGCATCAGAATAATGTATTTGAACCCGTTTTAAAAAAAAAATTACTGCATTTTTAATAAAAATATGGGATTTTTAAATATCGGCATATGCTTCTGTTTACCTATGTCTATGGGTTAAGAAACATAGGAACCCTCTTTATACGAGGGTCATTCAGTAAGCATTGGCGTCGGAAGCATACTGAAAGTGGGGGGCTAAGTGTAAAAAAAAATCTTTTTAGAAGTACCTTCTAAAAAAACCTGACACGCAAAAAAAAAAAGTATAATGTCCATTTCCCAAACACGAAAATCCTATTTCGGGGATGGGTGTGGGTGGGTAGGTTCGAACTTCAGTACCAATATTTTTTCCAAACACCACCACTTTCCCCTTTTTTAACCTAACACGTACCTGTAGAAAGTGGGCGGCTAAATTTAAACCTAAAGATATGTTCAAGGTCTATACTAATTATATATTTGGAAAAAAAGTGGGGAGATAAGCCCCCCCCCCCCCCTAGCCCCCCCCCCCGGTTCCGACGCCTATGTTAAGTAATGCAACTTATGGTTTCCGTAAGAAATGCATAGTACTTTTAGATTTTCTTTTCACGGTCTATAAGTTCCATTCACCCTCTCTCACGGTGAAAATGGTGAAAGATCTCCTTAAATCTTCTAAGAATTGTGACAAGAGAAAATGGCTTAGAAAATGCAGCAGATCTAGAAGACCCGTTATTGTAAGAAGATGCCAGAGTTCAAAGCATTGAATATCAGCATTTTCTTTGACTCTAGAGGTGCGGTCGTTCAAATTCCTGTACCCAAAGGAAGAACCGTTAATGGCTTGTTTTACAAAAATAGAATATTGAACAAAGTGAAACATATCTTCCGCAAAAGACGCCCAAAGACAGTCCTTTGTGGAATTTACCTGTTGCATGACAATGCTGTCGCAGACAAACATAAAGAGGTAAAAGCGTTTCTGGGGAATGAAAGAGTTACAGAGTTGCAACACCCGCCATATTCGCCAGATCTAAGTCCATGCGAATTTTTTTTCTTTCCTGACGCTACGGCTCCAGATCGGCCATTGGCAGTGCCGTCTATCAGTGCCTTTTAGGTATACATAAAGACGAGTATGCAGAGGCTTTTTGGTCTTGGATAAAAAGACTTGAAAAGTGTATTAAAGTGAATGTGGAATATTTCGAAGGATTGATGTAATAAATTATTTGAATTTAAGGTTGCGTCATATTTTTTATACCCAGTTGTATTACTTAATGAATGACCCTCGTATTATAGCTATATTTATTGAAAATAGATGTAGTTTCTCTACTTTTAACCCAGAGAATTGTGAGTATTGAAAACCCTTAACAAAAAAGGATTGTTTTGGGATAAGTATTCGATTTGATGATACATGTAAATGGTATGGAGTGAATTTCCGTTTTCCAGCACATTTTTCTACTCCTTAATCTCTATCTCACAACAATAATGTTAACACTTATGTGCTCTTAAATACTGAAACTGATGAACAATTCGGTTCATGTGAACCTAAAGCACATTTGCAGCCCTGTTCTGCAGCATGTTAAATAATAAAGAGGGTGTGTGTGTGTGAGTATAGAGCATTTATTACAAATGCCAAATAAGATTACAGATTTTACAATTTCAGAATGCAGCAGAAGGTGGGGCCCAAAAAATATCCCATAAGAGGGACAATGAACTTACAGAGAAGGGTCCCTCGAAGGGTGTTCGATTTGATGATAAATGGTATGGAGTTAATATCCGTTTTCCAGCACATTTTTCTACTCCTTAATCTTTATCTCACAACAATAATGTTAACACTTATGTACAAGAGTCTGCAGGTCACGTTCTTGTAACCTGATAAGAAAACTACCTATTCGTTATAAATAAAGGATCAAGCATATAAAGCCAACTTTACTGATAATAAATACGAACCTGCCATGTGCCCAGTCCGATAAAAGGCATTTCCTTCCCATTATTTAGTTTCACTGCCATGTTCATTCCAGCCATCCTTTTCTGCTACCCGCTTCTCAATGCAGGTCAGATTTATATCTGTTAGATGTCCTAAAAAAAGGTCTGCCCTCTTATCGCGCATTTCTTCAATAATCAATATTAAAACAGAGTACACAAGAAGGTCAAAAATTATTACAAGCGTTCGTTTAAAAGCACAAAAGTGCAAATAGTTTTTTAAAATAAGAGAAGTATATGGACATAGTGAACAGTACTCAAGCTCCTAGTCCATTAACCATTACAAATTTTGGAGAAAGGAAGGCACGGAGCTCTAAAACATCAGAAATGGGACAAGGTGCGCAACAGAAAAATCCGTCGACAATTCAGTGTGTAAATAATGGCCTAAAAATAAGGTTAAACATAAGTAAGCATTTGAATGAATGATAGATTGCATTTGCTAACAAGGTCATTGTACTGACCAATAAACTCACGAAATTATCAGTTTAAACGATACGGTTGATATTCTTGATTCATCAACTTTTTGTCGATAACTTACCTGGTTTTAGAAATTGCTCAGACGTAGAACAAGCTCTTGTGTATCAAATCAACCGAGAGATATTCACCCCATATACATCTGATAAGAATACTAGTACTGAATATATTCCTACATAGGGAAAGAGAGTAGACGATTGAAAAGAAACATGGAGATAACCAACAGCAAGAACAGTAAGAGTCATCACTATCAGAAATTTTGTTGTTTAATGTCCATTCTAGCAAACTATCCAAGTATGAAACATATGTGTAAGAACAACAATCACCCTGTCCTAAATCCCTCCCTTCCAACCTTCACCAACTCCTGACAAATATTCCTTCCGGAGTGGTTCTTCTTATTTTATTCTTGCAGAAAAATAGTTTAAACAGAGAAGGTGTCCCTCTTAATTAAGGAGGATCTCTACACCTATGAAGTATAACTGATTTTTGTTGCATGCATTTGTTACTAATAATGGAGTCAATATCCGATCAAATAAGGTTCCAAAGTATTTCACTTTATTTTTAAGAAATATTTAAAATATTTTATTTATTTTGTTAAAACCCATCCTTTCTATATTTTTAAAAGCCCGGTGCTTTAAATTTCTCTTCAAAGTTTAATGCTATAAAATATTGAAATAATAACCAACAAAGTTATAAATAAAATCTACATATTAATTTTTATTTCAATTTACAAAAATAGACAAAAGAAAAATTTAAACAGCATTTTCTTGAGAAGATCCCACATCTTCTCCAATATCTGAAAAGATATATAATATCAAAGGGTAAAAACAATGAAAAAAAGAAATTGAACAAAATTGAAAAACTGTCAAAAATTTCAAATTAACGTCCCTCTAGAGAATTTTTCACTCTTATGGAGACGCCACCACATGCCCGTGGACAGCTGTGTGGCAACGCACTTTGAAAAAATTATGCACTTTGAAAAAAATTTTCAAAGTGCGTTAAATTTGGGACCAACTCAACGCACTTTAAATAAAAAAAAATTTCAAAGTGCGTTAAGAGTTTACATCAATATATTTTACCATGGAGACACTTAACGCACTTTGAAAAAAATTAGAATTTTGATTTTAATAATGGAAAGCATGGATTTTTTACTTATCTATCGAAAAACTTATGAATTGATTTACTACCATCGAGAAGAGCAGAAGACGGGTAAAAAATCCTCTCAGCTCATTACTCTTCATCTTTCCATTATACAAGCGTCGCTAACAAATAAAACGGGGAAGGGGAATAATAAACCAAAAAAGGGTTAGCCACATTTTCAATGCCTATATGATGTATATCTTTCAAAATACGTAGGGGGCTTAGCCCCCTCCCTTTGCCCGGCCTTCGCCCGGTTTTGATGCCTATGCTTTTCCCTTAACATGGATATATGTCTTTAAATAATTCGTATGGTGTTGAAAATTTCAATGAATGAGTTAACTTTAAACAGATGAAAGCTAGAAATTTTAAGTACAGTAAAACGTAAAAGAGAGAAAGAATTTTCATTGTTTTGAAAATCATATTGACCCCTTTTTTCTGTAGAAAATTGCGATGCTTTATTACTTTAAGTTGTTCCCTTTTAACCACCTCCTTTGCATCTCTAATTTTTAACAAGAGGCCCAGGGGCCACAGCGCTCACCTGAGCACATCAGGCTTGAATTTACTCCACCACCCCTCCCCCCAGTTCATCATTTGAACAAACTAGAATCTACACTACCTGAGGATGATTCCATATAAATATCACTAATCATAGCTTTGAAGTACTTGAAAAGAAGATTTTAAAAGGTTTCCCTATATATCCCTATGTAAAACTTGGGTCGGCCATTTTGGCCCCACCCTAGCCCCGGGGGTCATGATTTGAACAAATTTGAATCTACACTACCTGAGGATGATTCCACATGAGTTTCATCTTTCCTGGCCCAGTGGTTCTTGAGAAGAAGATTTTTAAAGATTTTTCTTATATATTCCTATGTAAAACTTGGGTCGGCCATTTTGGCCCCACCCTTGCCCCGGGGGTCATGATTTGAACAAACTGTGAATCTACACTACCTGAGGATGCTTCCACATGAGTTTCATCTTTCCTGGCCCAGCGGTTCTGGAGAAGAAGATTTTTTTAAAATGCCATTAATTTTTAACTAATTCATGATTATCTCCCTTGGAAAAGGTTGTGGCCCTTCATTTGAAAAAAACTTTAATCCCCTTCAACCAAGGATACTTTGTGCCAAGTTTGGTTGAAATTGACCCAGTGGTTCTTGAGAAGAAGATGAAAATGTGAAAAGTTTACGAAAACGACGACGACAACGACGACGACGACGATAGACAACGGACAAATTTTGATCAGAAAAGCTCACTTGAGCCTTCGGCTCAGGTGAGCTAAAAAGAATTAAACGAATCGAAATAATGATAAAAAAAATCATCTCTCCATATTTTGTTAAAAGACCCATATCCTATTTATAACATTTACAAGAGGCCCATGGCCACATCGCTCACCTGAGCACCAAGGGTAGGAATAGTATAAAATGGCTTTTTATTGTAAAGTTTAAATCCAAAAGTAGTCCCATGACCAATCATGGATTTGCTATTTTTTAGAAAATGATTGAGAAGAAGATTTTTAAAGAATTTTCCTATATATTTCTATGTAAAACTTTGGTCGGCCATTTTAGCCCCGCCCTACCCCCGGGGGTCATGATTTGAAAAAAATTGAATCTACACTACCTGAACATGCTTCCATATAAATATGATGAATAATGGCTTTGTCATTCTTGAGAAGAAGATTTTTAAAGAATTTTCCTATATATCTCTATGTAAAACCTTGGTCGGCCATTTTGGCCCCGCCCTACCCCCGGGGGTCATGATTTGAACAAACTTGAATCTACACTACCTGAGCATGTTTCCATATAAATATGATGAATTATGGCTTTGTCATTCTTGAGAAGAAGATTTTTAAAGAATTTTCCTATATATTTCTATGTAAAACTTTGGTCGGCCATTTTGGCCACGCCCTACCCCCGGGGGTCATGATTTGAACAAATTTGAATCTACACAACCTGAGCATGCTTCCATATAAATATGATTAATTATGGCTTTGTCATTCTTGAGAAGAAGATTTTTAAAGAATTTTCCTATATATTTCTATGTAAAACTTTGGTCGGCCATTTTGGCCCCGCTCTACCCCCGGGGGTCATGATTTGAACAAAATTGAATCTACACTACCTGAACATGCTTCCATATAAATATGATGAATTATGGCTTTGTCATTCTTGAGAAGAAGATTTTTAAAGAATTTTCCTATATATTTCTATGTAAAAGTTTGGTCGGCCATTTTGGCCCCGCCCTACCCCGGGGGTCATGATTTGAACAAATTTGAATCTACACTACCTGAGGATGTTTCCCCATAAGTTTCATCTTTCCTGGCACAGTGGTTCTTGAGAAGAAGATTTTTAAAATATACCACTAAATTTTCATTAATTCCCAATTATCTCCCCTTGAATAAAAGCGTGGCCCTTCATTTGAACAAACTTGAATCCCCTTCACCCAAGGATACTTTGTGGCAAGTTTGGTTGAAATTGGCCCAGCGGTTCTTGAGAAGAAGTCGAAAATGTGAAAAGTTTACAGACAGACAGACGGACAGACGGACAGACAGACAGACAGACGGACGCCGGACAAAATGTGATCAGAAAAGCTCACTTGAGCCTTCGGCTCAGGTGAGCTAATAAAAAAAAAACTAAAATATTTAATACGTCAACATATCATGTCCTGAAGTGACCTTATCATAAAAAAAGTTAGCCAACCAGAATAAATTATTTATCATTACACTGAGTTACCAAAGCCACAGCAAGCAACGTATTCTACCTATAAAAACCGTAACACCGTAAAAGTTCTTGTAGGGGCGACACCAGGTGGATTAACATCTTATATTTCTACAGCTTATGGTGGATCAACAAGTGACCGTCAAATAGTTGAAAGAAGTAGGCTGTTGGAAATGTGCAATTCTGGAGATTCAATAATGGCGGACAAAGGTTTTAATGTGCAGGATATGTTTGTACACAGGAACATTCAAATAAATACACCAACATTTTTTCAAAAAGAAAAACAGAATGTCCTGTGCTACTGTGATTGAGGACAGAAAAATATCCAGCAAACGTGTGCACATTGAGAGGATCATTGGACTTGCAAAAACATTCAAAATTCTGACAGAGCCTATGAATAGCTCTGAAACAAAACTTTCTTCAGAAATAATCTATGTTTGTTTCATGTTGTGTAATTTTAAGAATTGCATAGTGCCATCTTATGCATAACTTGGTATTAAAAATGACATAATAAGAGAAAAAAGTCTTATTTCATTTTTCTTTATTGCAAGTACATTTACCATCATATGTCTTGAAAAAAGTTTTTTCCAACAGAGCAGACTTAAAAAAATCTTCATAGAATTCATTCAATTTTTTCTTCATCTCATCAATAAATTTATCATCCCTTTCTATTGCAAAGAACAAAAAGTCATTGAAAGTATACACAACAAATATACACTCATTTTTCTCTGCACAGTAAAGTTGTCCTTGGACCTGATAGTAATAGTCATGGGATTTATTCAAATAAAATTTACTCCC